TATCCTTTAAACATCAGCCTCAAAATATTAAGTTAACAATGATTAATGGTAAGAAATGACCAAATTGATCTCCAACATTATTTCATAACATTAGTTTAAGTAAAGTTTGAACTAGCAAGTCCAATATAAAAATATGAATATATAAATTAACATGAAAATATTTAAGAAGATAAACTTAGCAGTTTTAATGAAACTCTCGACTTTTTTTTTAACTTTAAGTTAACTCACTTATCATACTTTGTCTAAATGAATTATATATATCTCCATAGTCTGTAGTAAAAATCCAAAACTAGTCATGCCTGTTTTTTGAGGGGAAACTCTGACAGCCTAAAAACCCAGTTATAAATCAAGAACAAGTTAAAGGTGCTGTTACTTTTCTGCGAATTTTTATTGATGCATGGAAAATTATAAATCTGCAAAAGTATCTGATTATGTAAAATTGTGTGACTCTTTGTGAGCTGTCATTTAAAGTGCTAAAGATAATTGTCTACAACATTTATTAAAAATAGCAGAAATATGAAAAAATATAAATGCAAAAAACAGTTAAAATAGAATAAAAACTTTTACTTTAAAAATTGCAGATGCAATTTTACACATCAAGAAGTTTTATGGACTTATCTAACTTTTTACTTGAAACCATTTAAGATCATCAATTCATTATGTTGGGTAAGTTTTTAAATAATACTTTAGAGAAAGTTTTAGGTAAAATTTTAAGCAGAGTGCTGATGTAGCATACTTTATTTCCTCTCAATAAACTGTTGAGAAAATTCACCATAAATTACTACTAAGATTTGGCGCAAACTTTCTGACTGTAATTGAACAATGGGTGATATGAAATATTTATTTTATATTTTTTTTGCTGAAGAAGTAGGTATTTTAAAATAGGTGTCTCCAGTCTTTTTGTCTCCAGTCTAAAAGACTGGAGACACCTATTTAAAAACACCTAAAAAGACTGGAGACTAAAAGACTGAACTTCTTCAGCAAAAAAAGAAGTATGATTAAAAAAAAGTTTTGTTTGTCTGATTAAAATTGATTTCTGATACTAAATTTCCTAGTAATAAAAATCCAAAAAAATGCACCCATATATAAAAATACATACATTTCAAAATTTATTTCTAAATCCTAAACTAACCCACCACAAATTGTTTTAATTTCTATCATTGACATATTATCCCAAATTTCTTCAAAAATTGTTTTAACTCAAAAGTTTCATACAAAAAAAAAAGAGGAATAATAAAGAAAATGATTTAAAGATTTTAGTTTAAATCAAAAGCAAAATTTTACTTTATTATTATTCTTATTATTTAAAAATAATAATGATATTTAACTTACAATAAAAATAATAAATGTCAGAAAATATTTCTCAAAACTAATAGATTAACAGTTTTTTTATAATCTTTCTTTTTCTATATAAACTTTTTAAGATGTTCATTTGTAATACAAAATTATAACAAAATTATTATAAAATAAATTAAAATTATAACAAAATTATTATATACAAAATAATTATCATTATATAAAAGTATTAGCAACTAGCAAAATAACAAAAGTTATAAAAAATCATAACAAAACTTTTTCTTCAATGAAAATACCAACCATTTTAGTTTGCAACATAAGTTTTCTACAAATGTATTGGGTTATCTCTTAACCCACCAGACAAAATGTGTATGTGTTCAACAGTTCAAGTGGAAAAAAGAGATATGCGAATCACAATTAGTCAAGAACAAAATTTTGCAAATGCTACTACACTCTCAGAGTATTATTGTTCCACTTATTTGTTCTTGTTATATATTGCAGTAATTTCTGCAGATAGTTCCAGTAACTTAATTTAATGCAGATCGTTCCAGTAACTTGATTTAATGATTTGATTCAGGTTTTAGTTCTAGTAATTTGTTCCATCAATATGTTGCCAGTTATAATGTTGGAGTAAATTTAGGTCAGGTTAGAATTACGATCATTGCGATCAACCTACTACAGGTAACACGAAAGAAATTGTAATATGTAATTGAGAAATACAACATGTAAATAAGAAATTATAATATCTAAATGTGAAGACATAATTTGTTATTGCAAATTCATAATGAATGCTTATAGGTCATTATAAAAGGTTTTTTGGAACCTGAATTTGAATAAGTTTATATATCAAATTAAACATTTGTATGCACCAGCAATAATAATTGAATTGAAAGATTGTTGTGTTATTTGTCAAGCAAGGACAAAACAAGGATGTGCCAGGAAAAAGAACAATAAAACCTGCTTCAAAAGGTGCAAACATACATTTGATTCCAGCTTTATTAACAAATGTTGTCATGTTCCAGATTCTTTTAACGAGTGGATTTTTTTTGTTTTACCAGTGGGTTATATCCGGGAATCTTTTAAAGGATTTGGTTATCGTAACAGACAATGCTCTATGTCACGCTCATTTGAAAAGGGTCTTTAAAAATTCTCTAGCTCAGTTGAAATGTTTAGAACCTTACAGTCTAAGGTTAAACCCAATGGAATCAATCAGGTCTAAAATTAAAAGTAACAGTAAAAATGCGATTTGTATTACATCTGTTAGGATTGTGGAACAACAAAGGCAGTATTTAAAAAGAATTAGTATAATATAATTAAAATAAAGAGTTAGTATAATTAAACGGCAAAAAAATAACTAGTATTAAGAATTAGTATAATTAAACGGCAAAAAAATACAATAATAGGAGGTGATTGTACACGTGCTGCTCAACATACTACGAAGCACTATGAAATGATTTTAAATATGCCCAAGTTGGTGTTTAACTGAATATTACATTGATTTTTAATAACTTTGTTAAAATTTAATTTTAAATCTTTATTTATTTTTGTAAGTAAATGATTTGTGTTTTATTTATTATTCATCTGATTTCTCAAATGAAATTTTTTTACAAACCAACAAAAAAAGAAAGTTTTAACTAACACAAAATGCAAATGCCTTTTTCATCACTTTTTTATTTTATTGATAGTATATTATTATATATTGAAAATCAACCCATAGGACTACCTTGGCCAAATTAGGAACCAACCTTTAATTACAAGGTATATTAAGGCAATGAAATTAAAAATACAAAGAACTTTGGTCTGAGAATCTATTTACATCTTACCATTTCTTATTTACAACTTTTATGTTCTAAATTACATCTTACGCTACTCAATTACAACTTTCATGTTCTAAATTATATCTTACGTTTCTCAATTACAACTTTCATGTTCTAAATTACATCTTACATTTCTCAATTACAACTTTCATGTTCTAAATTACATCTTACGTTTCTCAATTACAACTTGTTCTAAATTACATCTTACATTTCTCAGCTACAACTTTTAATTTCTCAATTACATCTTAGGTTTCTTAATTACAACTTTCAAGTTCTCAATTACATCTCGAAAAGGTGTTGTACAACTTGCTTCATGTCCTGCTACCTTAAAGAATTCTCTTTTATAGAAAGACTAGGTGGGGTTCTGAAGTGAAATACATCCTGCATTGGAGCTATCTCAATAAAAATACTTACCTTGGTCTGGTGTTAACTGCATTCAGCTACTGTCTTGTAGGCCTCATTGGCAAAAACTTTAGGGGTCAGCAGAAAATATCTGTTGACCAGCTTTGTGCCCCTATTTTTATCTAATAGGCTTGCCTAGATAAAACCTAAGTTACTTTGTTTCTTGCCAGGGTCAATGAATGCTAATGAATAATGAATAAAGATGAATGCTAGATTTTCTTAGCTCTTATTTTTTTTGCTTGTGCATGCTTGATAGTGGCTATGCTTGATTGATATGGCTCTTACTGTTAAATTCTAATTAGGATACAGCTCTAAAATTCATTTAAATGGTTCTGAAACTGGCAGATATTAAGAATTCTCAAAATTTTTACTAGTTCTCAAAGAGATTGATTCCATCGACAGCTGTAAAATATCAGAGTATTATCAGTAATAACTATTTATCTATTAAATTTTACCTCTTGCAAAGTTTACTGACTAAGTTGCTCTTTGTGAAACTAATCTGGCTGCTTTATCTTCAGATCTTTGTGTTAATAGCTATACTTTAATTTGCAAAGATTCCAATAGTCACATTCTTGACCTGGACATGTCTTGTACTGTTTGTTGTATAACCAGATTTAAATCTCCTCAGTATTCTATGATGTGATTTTGTCTAGCACCTCACCAATCAAATTTCCTTTTTATTTATTACTCACTCAGTTCTCATTGATCTCAAAACTGTACACATAGATCAAATAGAAAAAATCTCTTTCTCAATCTCTTTTTCATTATCCCTCAACCAATATTGTTGTAATTTTGACGCTCATCACACTGAATGGCTTGGGTCAAGTGTCACTGAACCTTCTGAGTCTAAATCTCAAAAATTTTATCTTTCTCAAACTCATTCCCTGGTAATAATTCTAAATGTATTCTACAAAATAGAGTGCTCAACATTCTTAAAAGAACAGAACAATAATAAATTAGAAAAACTAATCAAGTATCAAATTTTTTTTTTTTTTTTTTTTTTTTCATTTTCATTTCACGCTGCGAAATAAAAAAAAAATTTTATTTTTATTTTTAAACTTTTTGTGGCCTTCAAAATTAATTAAAAATATAAACATATATATATATAAAGTTTTGTTTTTATAGTAAAAATTGAAATACAACCAAGCAAAAGTATCTGTGAGTGTGTACAGACATATATATGTATGTATATGTGTTAGTGTGTGTGTATATAGGCATATGTCTAGACACATACATCAACCCTCAGAATTAGGGTCGGCATTTAGCAATGTCGACCTAACTGCCAACCTGAAAGTGTTTTTTTCTATATTTTATGGTCCTCTTTATGTCAAATTTTTTTTGCCGACCTTATGCTGACCTCTAACAGTTTGAGGTTGGCAATTTATTGCCAACTTTATTTTTCCTAGTTCTAAGGGTTGCATACATACATAAAAAAATTAGATTAAAAGTAAAAAATATATTGTTATAGTAATAACATTTTTTTAGTGTGATGGCATGTTGTACTGGATAGAAAGTGTGAAAGACCAACTTGTGCAGCAAGGGTTTGAATATGAGGCTAAAGTTTGGACAGGCAAAGAAATTATTAAAATGTTTCAAAATGCTGAAAAGTTGCATTTGTCTTGCGCTAGTGTTAAACTTTATAAGGTTATTTTTCAATTTAATACATTAATGTTTTAAAAATTTTATGGTTTATAAATTAAAGCTTTTAAATTAAACATTAAATTAAATAAGTTTATTTTTTTATTAAATTTTTAGTAAATAAAAATTGAAATCAATTTTAAAATTTAAAAAAAGAAGTTTTTTTTTACATTTTAAAACCTATTATGTAAGTTACATTTGCCACTTAACAATCTTTATTTTTAATGGGCTGATGTCTTTTGGTTTGCAATTACAGGGGAAATTTTCAGTAATGTTTTTTGAATTTATTTTTTTGTTGTGATTTTTGATGATGATTTTTGAAATGTTGTTTGAGTAGCTGTAACTAACCTTTGTGTTGTTTGAGTAGCTGTAACTAACCTTTGTTTGAGTTACTAAACTTTGTTTGAGTAGCTGTAACTAATCTATTAATTGGTAAAAGATTTTTGCCTATCATTATTGGAGAGAGGGATCCGCTTAAGTACTTTAGGTGGGTGGTTTGATTCAGTATGAATGTAGAGCAGTTGGTCTTTTTTTTTAGGTTGCTAGGAGTTTTTTTAAAAATTAAAAGTTGTATAAAGAATTTTTAAGCATGAAACACGGCAAAAAGGTGTTTAATGATTTGTTTTGCTGTCGCGATCGAATGCATTGATGGAGCTGAAGTGTGAGAACTGGTATGATTTTACATTCTGGGCTCTTTATATAGAATGATTAGTAAAAATGACTTATTGCACTGTTGCTAATATTTCAATTAATGGTGAACAGGGTTTTCCTAAAGGTATTGCAAATGTTTTTGATATACACCTTTGGTCAAAAAATCCTGGTAACTTGGCTTAGCTGATCTGAAGAAAAGGAAGGTGGCATTTAAAGGCTTTTGATATCAGGAATAAAAATGGAAACTTTGAAATCCAAAAAAACAAATGAACATTTGATTTTATAGTTACAAAATCAATAGTGAAGATGACAGCATCTATTTTTATTTTACATTTTTACAGCCGATGCAATCAATTAAATTATTTTAACCGTGTCAAATTAAAAAAATATTCATCAAAAATAAGTATTCTTTATCTAAGTCGTATTTAATTTCAAACTTTTTTCTGTGATTTCTTACTTTATGGAAAAAAAGCATTTGTTGTTATAAAAATAATCAAATGTTGTTCTTTTTAAAACTGTGAATTTATAATTAAAATGCCTTACTACGTAAGATAAAATTCATAAAGAAAATGATGAAATTCAAGATGAAATAAGGAAATAAGATTGTATGTTTTTAGTGGATGGAAAAGGCTAAGCATGATATTACACAATTTATCATTGAGAAAGGAACAAAGGTTTTGGGTCACGAAATCTATTTTTCAAAGAATTCACAGAAGTGTGACACATGTTGTTCAGGAATTAGAAGAAAAGATGAGGGCAAGGATATATCTCTTCCAACTTTGTTTAACTTTCTAGTAATTCAAGTAAAAATGTCCACATAAATGTAACCCTGCAGCTGTCTCATTTGCAAAATTGGTCAACTAAAGCTTAACTTCGAACATCCTTTGCAAATTAAAAACAAAACTGATGCAGACTAAATGGGAAAGCTCTTTACCAAGTCTTGTAAGACATTTTGACCATAGGTGCTCAAAATGTCTTACAAGACTTGGTAAAGAGCTTTCCCATACTGCAGTGCCCTATGAGATTGCTAGCAGCACATGATAGCAAAGTATCAGATCAGATTACAGCTGCATCTCTAGGTCAAAAAGATGTCTCACCACATGGAATAATTTGTATTAACCAGGTTCAAGGTGGCAGACCACTGACATTAACACCACAGATTTTATTTCATATCATTTATTCATTTTTTAGTTTATAGTTTTTTTATATCTTTATAGTTTTTTCTTTGAATAAACTTATACTATTTCACATTAGATACTTATTATTTTGATTACGTCATTTTAAGGCCCAGGCCCTTTAAGTGCAAGAAAACTTTTTGATAGACCTACTAAATAGCAGCTAAAGATCTTGTCAAAATTCAAGTTAATACAAGAGCTTTCGACCAAGGGCATGAGAAAATCAGCATCAACACTAAATCAAATTTCAAAGGCCAAAATTACAGAGCCCTCCATTGGTTCCAAATTTCTTGCTATTGGAAGCACACTTTTAAAGGTACATTAATTCAAAAAAATATTAAAAAAATCATTGTGCACAGTAAAAATTTGTCTGACCTTTTGAACTATGCTCTGTTAAAAAGGAAAATATTTGAATATTAAGTTTAATAGTAAAACTATGAATTGATGGAGGAAGAAGTTTTCTCTTGGCATTGTGAAAAAAAAAATTCCAAAAACCCTATCATGATGTCCAGTTTGAAGGCAATGATTGCAGAAAGTTTCTTAAAAGAGTTACACATTTTTATGTACATATTTCTATGTTATTATGTATTATTATTATTATTTCTATATTATTCTATGTACATATGTTATGTTTTATGTACTTATTTCTATGTTTATAAAAGTCTTATGTACTCTTTTGGCCTGATTTTAATATGTGGTTTAAGTCAAACTATATAATGTACGTTTGAATGGTAACAATTCACAGAGGCTTTTAGATAAGTTAGATAATCTAGAAGTTAATCTTGTGCAGCCTCCATGTTGCCAAATATGCTACTACTGCAACTTGTAGTTAGTATTCTTTGAAAATTTTAATTATTAAAACAAAGGGTTTTAGCTTAGTGATTGAGGAATCTGCTTAGTAATTGCTGATTGGTTGAATCAGTTTTGGATTTTAAAAAGTCATTCTAAAGTCTGCAGCTGGAAAAATTTAATAGTTCACATTTCAGTATGTCATCTAACTAGTTCACATTTCAGTACTCGGTGTAGGCACTTTTAAAATAATAGAGCGTCTGTATGATAGTTTGTTGACTGCGACATTTTCCCGTTAAATGGTCTGGTCTGTGAATTATGAAAAGACGAAAAAACTTAAAATGATAAATTTTGCAATATCATAAAATATAAATGTTTGTAGCAAAAAAATCCAGACCAATGATTCTTTTTTTTTAAAAAAAAATCATCTTCCCCTCCTTTCCCTCTTAACATATGTTACATTATAAGTTAAATCCATTTTTATAAAATAATATGCTTGTAAATTACGTTCAAATAAGAATTTATTTAAAATTAATTATTATTTTATTATTAAACTAAAAAAATTTACCAAATCTAACGGTTTCACGGGGTACAATGTTTATACAACTTACACTGAAGGTCTAAGAAGAACAAAGTGTCTATAAAAAACTAAATAAAATTTGGGTTTTTTTGGATTTGAATGATTTAGTTAGATTTAGATTGTTTTAAATTTAAAAAACTGTTTTGTTAGATTAAGTTTAGTTAGATTTAGTTGTGTAAGTAGCAAGTTTGTTTGTATTAATTCACTAAGCGCACATGAAAACTTTGTATATATATATATATTTTTTTGATAACACTTTTTCAAATAAATATGTGTTTTTATATTTGCTAATACAAAAATAAAGTTTTGACAACATTAATAAACTTACTTTTTGTTGGTAAATAAGTGGACTGATACTGATTTACTGTGCACGTATTCCAGATTGCATATTTAAACATATTTTGTAATGGTGCAATGTTTTTTGTTTCATATTTTAATACTTTTTAATATTTTATTGAACTTTGAAGTATTTTGTTATGAAGTATATTGTTATGAAGTATTTTGTTATGAAGTATATTGTTATGAAGTATTTTGTTATGAAGTATTTTGTTATGAAGTATTTTGTTATGAAGTATCATCATCATCATCATCATCATCATCATCATCATCATCATCATCATCATCATCATCATCATCATCATCATCATCATCATCATTATCATCATCATCATCATCATCATCATCATCATCATCATCATCATCATCATCATCATCATTATCATCATCATCGTCATCATCATCATCATCATCATCATCATCATCATCATCATCATTATCAACATCATCATTATGTCTTTATCATTTTCATCATCTAATAAATTTAATTTTGTGATATATTGTTTTAGGATCAACTGATAGAGCTAACTAATAAAGAGCAACAGGAAAATGTAAAGCAAGTCGAATTTTTTTTTTCATTAACAAATTATTTTTATTAATTACAACTAATTATTTCCTTAACTAGTTTTATTTAAAATTTAAAAAAAAAGCACAAGTTTTGATTTTAAAATTGAATTTTTTATTCTTTTAGTACATTTGGAGAGGAAGAACTTTGTATTAGTTCAAAAACTTTGAATACATTTTTAAATTTAATGAAAGTACTAGAAAAGTTGTTTGACGAAAGCTATGATTACAGCAATGATTACAGAGTGATTATATCACGCACTGCAGTCATGGTCAATTTAAATAATGAGGTAACTTTAAAAAAATAAGTTTTATAATTTTTGAGCTGCTAGTAGTGTCTTTATTTAAACTTAACATAAATCCCTTTTTTTTTTCTACATTCTTATTAGAGTGTTGGTGGCTGGAAAAGTAAAAGCAAATGTATGTATATTTAACTGTTCAAAAGTGCATTTAAATAAAATATAAAACTAGAAATTTCTAGGGACATAGTATATTACTTGGCAGGAAGACATAATCAAATATTGTAGTGGTTCATTTAAAAGTTACTCAAAGCACAAAACTTAAAGAACAGTCTTATTTAAATAATCCAATTTAATTTACCAATTTAAAAAAATATATATATTTTTTCAAATAACTATTTAAAAATCTGGTAATAAGTTTTTAAAATTTAATTTTGTAAAAAAAGTTTTTTTTCTTTGTATTATTATTATTATGCTGATTTTTAATTTTTAAATCCTTATTTTAATTTTTTTTTTTTAATGTACTCACCTCCCCAAAATTGAAGTTATGGAAGCTGCTGTTGTTGATGATATTGTTATCCCCTCTTTATATTTGGCCAAAATGTACATATGCAAGAAATGTGTTAATCTTAATGAAGTGCTTAAAAAATAGAATAACTTCACAATTTTGCATTTTTCTGCAATATATTTTGTGATAAACATAAAACCACAAGCCATAGTGTTTTTGATTTAATTTTGTTTGAAAGGAGTAATGAAATACATTGTTTATTAGAAAGATTTCAACAAAATCTATTATAAAAAAATAAAATTAGTTTTTAATAACTATTATTCTAACTGGCTGCAAAATACCGGTCTCTGTAAGTCAAAATACCGGTCTCTGTAAGTCTTTTAAACTTGAAATGTAAAACTAAAATAACATAAATATCTCAATCATGACACACGCAACAAATTTTTTGTTGTGTATTTTTAATAATAATAAAATAATAATAAAGTTACATAATGTCATAAGTTACATTACATAAGTTTTTTGTTTTTCTAATATAATATAAAACTGAATAGTAAACTTAATCAAATCAGTACCAGTTTGACTATTTTTTCTTATTAACCCTTCTAATAATAAAAAATAGCAATAAAGTGATTAAGAATCTAAACAAAGTAAAAAACCAAGAACAAATAAATATTCATATATTAAAACTACTAATTAAACATAATAATTAAAATAAAAAAACAACACCAAATCTCCTTGAAGGCTAAGAAAAGTTGTCATATCTAATTTTCTTGCAGACCTTGTTTGAATGACTGCGTGAACATTAAGAAACGCATTTAGAAAAGCCTAGATACTACTTAAAAATAATGACATTAAAGGGTTATGTTAAACATTAACTAGAGTATTAAAACTATATGCTCTTATTTAATGTACTTGAAATATTTATTTCAAGTTTGTTAAAGTACTATTTTTTTAATTGTCCAAATGGATTTTTATTAGAAAAAAAAGTTGTTAAATGGCACAATTAAAAAAATTTTTTAGTGCATTTTTATCAAAAAATTATTAGTGTTATTAATATTGTTGTTATTTAAAAATTGTTGTATGCTTTAAGTTATATAAATATTTATCATTGTTATTTTTATCTATTGTTGATGCTTTATAACAAATATTTAAATACTGCTTCAATTAAAATTCTTTAGGTGGTCATTACTCTATTCACTTTATGACTTTTATTATAAATATGGCACCTCAAACAAGTCTACTCTAGGTGGTATTTGCAGCAAAATGTACTTCTCCAAAACACAGGCTGTGTTTCTATTAAACATTGTCTCAGTTTCATTTAAATTACCCAACTTTGACCAGGAAACCTGGTTTTCTATATCTTTATTCTAAAAATCTACATTTTTTTGATTGAAACTTAGAAAGTGTAAAGCCATGAGATAAATAGTTGCTGTAAAGAGTTTGTTAATTTTTTTTGAAAAACATAAAATCGTTGTTTTTTTTAGATCTTGAAAAAGTGTGGACATATGAGATAAAATGGTGTTGCTTAAATCCTGCTGTGGTAATAAATTTGAGTCATTTGTTCAAAAAATATTGTTATGGTTCTTATTATTGACATGGTAATCTTTGTTGTCATTTTATTTATACAGTACTTTCTCTCTAATTTGAACTTTCTCAGAAAAAATAAAAGTTTAAATAAGAGAGATTTTTGATTTATAGAAAGTTGACTTTTTATGGTGATATTTCATTGTGACTTTTTAATCAAATAATGGAGGTTTTCAAATTAAAGAGATTCGAATTAGAGAGATTGCACTGTATTTATTTTTAATGCACATCAAATAAAAATTAGCACATCTGGTATTTTAATATAACTTTATATAATCTCTAAAAGATTGAGGTCAGCAATAACTTGCCAATCTCATTTTTTCTAATTCAGAGGGTTGTATATATATATATATATATATATATATATATATATATATATATATATATATATATATATATATATATATATATATATATATATATATATATATATATATGTATATATATATATATATTTACACACATATGTATATATACACACATATGTATATATACACACATATGTATATATACACACATATGTATATATATATATATATATATATATATATATATATATATATATATATATATATATATATATATATATATATATATATATATTTAAAGGTGAACATTGGTACCCCTGTATTTCAAGAGCTTCACACATTTTTCGATCAAATTTGTTTCCACTTTAATTAATTTTATGTTCCCCCAATTTATTTCTTGCAAGCAAAACTTATTATGGGATTTTATTATTCAGACTGGTAATGTTTTCCCTTGTTTAAAAATTTTAAATGTTGAGTTGGAGTCCCTAGTTTGAAGTTTAGTTTTGCCTAGATATCTCTTTGAGCATTTGCATTTAATTAAATAAGTTTGGGTTTGATGTGGCAATTTAGTTTTATTTTTTGATGTTAGCATTATGTGTATACCCTATATTTATACCCTTGTTTACTTAACCTTGCCTGCAACTTTGTTGCTGGCGTCTTACTAAAAGAAGGAGGCTGTGGAGGCTTCAGTATATACATTTACTTATTATTTGGGATCGGGCAGATATAAAAATATATTAGGTCAGTTTTAACCCAAATATGCAAGGATAATGGTGTGTATATATAAACATACACGCACGCACACACACATACATAATAATATTAAAATGACTGTAATAAACTCCACATATGATAAGTAAATAAATTGAAAAATTAAAAAAAGAAATAGGGTTTGAAGTTACATACACTGCCAGCCAAAAGTTTTTACAAAAGAAAAATATTTGTAATTTTTTAGGTAAAGTTATTTAGAAAGGTCCTAATAACGTTTTAATTTTTTTTTTCTGGTTATAATATATTTAGTATAAAAAACATTTTGACATAATGCTTAGATATATAAGCTTTTTTAGAATTTCCAGCCATCAATTGATTAATTTTTCAATGGTTTTTGCAGAAATAGCACCCCATGACTTTTTTAAGATATTTCATAACAAGTTTTTTGGGCATTAAATAATTTTTTTCGAACATTTTTATTATGTTCCTCCTATAGTAACTCAATTGGAATTAAATCAAAAGATTGAGCTGGCTTCTTGTTTGCTTGCCTAACTAGAGGTTTCTTTACAGCAATACAACCATAAAAGCTTTTGTTTCTCTTAGACAGTATTTTTTTTATATTTACATATTTTTTATTTATCATTCATCATTTTATTCAAAGTTGCTCTGCAGCCTAACAAAACGTTCATTGAATTATTTTATAATTATAAATATTGTTATATAATTATGTATATTATTTCATAATTATATGTATTGTTTTATAATTATATATTTTGTATTATAAATGTATATATTATTTTATATATATATATATATATATATATATATATATATATATATATATATATATATATATATATATATATATATATATATATATATATATATAATTTTATATACTGTTTTGTTTCAATTGATTTACAAGAATATACATTTTTGGGTATTTTTATGCAAAATCGTATTTTTTCTGGAAACTTTTAGTAAGCAGTTTACATTATATGTAATTATAGGTTTGGTATTATAAAAACTTAAATGTGTATTACCAAAAAGTTTCACAGTTAAATGTTTTACAGTTACGCATGCAACATTGTATGCAACTTTAGTGTATGTGTTTTAGTATTTTCAGTATACTTTTTATTGACTTTGTTGTGTGTTACAGTGTCTTGACTGTGTGTTATCATCTTTAGTGTTTGACAATGTTTGCATCAATTTACTTTGTAAAATAATTTAATTTTTTAAAACTATTTTTTTATACCATCTTTTAGGTTTTTTCTGAAGTTGGTCGACACAGTCGATGTGTTATTTTGAGTTCAGGGACATTATCACCAATGTCATCATTTGCTTCAGAACTGGGTATAGATTTTCCAATCACTTATGAAGGCAATCACATTATATCAGATTCTCAAGTAAACTTTTGTTGCCCTTTATTCAAAATAATACCAAGAAAAAAAGGAATAGTGCAAATAGTTTAACAAGAATTAATATATTATAGCAATATATAATTAAGATACTAATTATATATAGTTTTAAAGCATTATTTTTTAATTTTATTTTTAAATGTTTTAGGTATGGGTTAGCACTTTGTCAGTGGGACCAAGTGGAAATGTCATAAACGCAAATTATACAAATTCAGAGGTTTTTTTTTTTTTTTTTTTTTTTTTTTTTGTCGCTTAAAATCTTTGTAAATTTAATAATTTTTTTTTTCTACTTGCTTACCAGCGTTCGAAATAGTTTTTCAAAGCTTGCCGATCAAATGTAATTTTTTCACAAAAACAGGTTATTTTCCCTTCGATTTTTTTAAATTTCCCTACAAATAGTTGATCGGCCGTTATTTCGAGTGCTGGCAAACTACTTTTTTTTTTCTATTTGTAAAATAATAAAAATCTTTTTTTTTTTTTACTTAACAATGTATATTTTAAAAATACTATTATATATATATATATATACATACATACATGCATATGTGCATACATAAATATGTACATACATGCAAACATACATACATACATACATACATACATACATACATACATACATACATACATACATACATACATACATACATACATACATACATACATACATACATACATACATACATACATGTGTATGTATGTATTAACTAGAATTTAAACAACTTCTTTATTAGAGTAAATATTAAACTTTTTTTTATATATAAATTAACTTCACAAAAAGACAAGTTGAACTATATTTAAAAAATATTTTATTTAGATTAATCTTACAAGTATTTTCATTTTTAAAAACTTTTTTGTCTCTAATTACCAATATGCAAACGAATATAAAATAGTTTTCTTCTTTTTATGTCTGTTTAATTACAGACCTATAAAAAGTAGGAAGAAATATGCACAGATTTTTTTCTTATTTTTTGGCACTTTCTTTGTTTCGAATACCTATAGCATTTTTTTCTTTTTCTTTAGCTGCATTAACAACATTATATTGAAACACTTATTCATAAATAAATAAATAAAATTTTCAGTAACTTTTGGTTTAATTCAATTTATTTCAAGAAATATTAATAAAAAAAACTTTATTTTGTGTGCAAATTGTTAATTAGAATTATTAATTTTTTGCAAAGTAGTATGAATAGTTGTTTATAAAAAGTTATTTTAGTATATTTTTTTTTTTTAGTTTTACAATGATTGATTTCAAATTAAAATTTAACTTGATTGCAATAATATAATTTTTTTTTTACATGGTTGTACTCAATTTTTATTTATTAAAAAAAAAAAACTGTTTTCTAAATAATAAATAAGTTACAATGTTTTATTAAAATCATACTTAAATTATAATTGCATTTTTCTTTTAATATATTCTAATTATAGTACTTGCTAATAATAATGTAGTTGTTTTCTTTTATTTGTAGACATTTTTGTTTCAAGATGATATTGGGAATATTCTGCTACATATATGTGAAGTTGATCTTTTTTTTTATAAATACTTTTAATGCATAGTTTAGTTAAAATAATTCAAGTTGAAAATATGTCAAATAATGTTTAACCTATTGAGAATGTCATTAGTGTAAAGTACTTTAATTGATTAAAAAGAAGTTGCAGTAAAGTGACACACTGTAGTTACAGAATAAAATAAAGTGTTTATTAAATTCCCTCAAAAAAATTCAAAATAAAATAAATTTTAGGCCTTAGATTAACAGCAAATGCTTTTTTTCTTCAGACAAACTTGTTTTGGGTAACTAGCATTTAATGTTTTTTTTTTAGGCGATTCCTCGTGGTATTCTGTGCTTCTTTCCATCTTATCACATGATGGAAAAATTACATAAAAGATGGGAGGTTGATACTTTTTTATTCTTAAATGTTCTTTTATATTTGTTTTTATATTTATGTTTTTTAATGTTGTTTTACATGTTTTAATTACTTGGAAGATTTATAATACATAAATAATTTTTTATTGTATGTATATATATATATATATATATATATATATATATATATATATATATATATATATATATATATATATATATATATATATGTATATATATATATATATATATTTGGGTTTAAGTTTAAATTATATCCAAGTTTAATTATAGTTTCAATTTATTAAGTTTAGTTTTCATTTTAACCAATTAAATTATATTTAAAGTTATATATTTGAATGATATTTAAATTATTTCCTAATAATATAAATGTTCAGTTGACGAAAGACTTAAAAAACTCAAGATGAGTTATTAAAGATGTTTTAATAACTTTATTAAAGTATTTTTAATAACTTATGCTAAGAAGTATAACTGTGCAAGTATACTCTTTCATTGTTATAATTCTAGAGAAAAGTGATTGACTAAAGTGGTATTGTTTAAAAATGGCATAAATATTTCAAATCTGATTTCATGGTAAGATAATCAATAGATAAGTTCCTTAAATCAGGGCCTATGCTAGGAAAGAAATTTGGGCTGCGGTACCCCCTCGTTTTGGCAGACTTTATCGGAAAATTGATGGATTTTTTGCAAAAATAAAAAATGTAAAAAAAAAAAAAGTAAAAAAAATGAATAGATACAAATAGTCAACTCTGTCGAAAATGGTCTAGAATAGCCCCTGCTTAAATATAAAAAAATTTACCTTATCAAACTAAATTAGCTGTTAGCAAAACTGCAAAATTAAAGGTAACATCTCACATTTTATGCTTTGATTCATGGTTTAGTAATCTTAAATGAATATTGAAATTAGAATGAAGTTTATTGGTTGCTTGAAAGTTTGAATTGATGAACTTAGTTATGCAGGTGTTATGAGTTCTTTAGAATCTTATGAATTCTATGTTGACACTACCCGGAATAGTTTTTTATGCAATAAGTTTTGCAGGCGTTGTTGCATTTTGACTTTATGGTGTACCAATAATTACTACCAATAGTTCTATAATATGTGAATTTTTTGACTGTGCTAACTTATGCACAAAAATAAAATTACACGACCCAGTTCAGACCCAGATCCCAAAGTGCAAACCATATAATTAACTAGAACACTATGTGAAACAGCGCATTGTTATTTTTATGTATTACACTGATATGCATTTTATTATATTACACTTATATTTTTTATCCTTATATTTTATTATATTACACTTATATTTTTTATTTTTATATTTTATTATATTACATTTATATTTTTTATCTTTTGATGAAATCGGCCTCTCTAAAATCTTTTCAGAGACAACCCTTCAGAAACCTTTGAATCATTAACTGGTTTTTGTAGAACTGCACCCTTGTTAAGAAATTAAAAATCAGAGAAAATGTTACATAGCCACTAACAAAAAGACAATAAATGTTCATCATACCAAGCAGGAAACAGTGTAATAGGTTTACATTATGTTGTTTCTAAAAAATGAAACTGTCACAAAAGTGTTCTCCAGACTATATTGACTTGCACAATTCAATTTTAGTTTTGATATTTTATTTAAAAATGACACTTATTTCAAGTTTAAGTATATTTACGGCCAAAAATACTTAACCTGCAAGTACTGTAGCAAAACTATCTAATTTAGATAATAATAGGCTATATATTCTATTTAAACTATATAATTAATTTAGAAACTATAGAACTTTTTGTCATTTTTGTTTATTACACTCAGCCATCATTTGAGGCTGTTCTAGTTAAAAGGATTCCCAAATACCTAGACAATTTATGTTTATTTTGTAAATAAACATAAGAAAATAAGTTTTGGGTTTATTAAAATTACCAAAACAAATTTTTTATTGAGATATTAAAAAAAACATTTGTTGTTTTGCCATTATACTTCCGGTTGAGAGGTTAATATTGACTTTATGAATCTGCATAGTTTTTTTTGTTGTAAATATATCTGGTTTGAATATTAAATGTACTTATCACAGAGTTTTTTTAAAGATTTACACAATTAGATTGGGTTTCCTTCTTTTATAAAAAATGGTTTGTGCTGCATTAAACATTTTAGTTCAACTGGAGATTTGACTAAATAAATAAAAACTGTAAATTATTTGGTTCGTTTTATAAAAGGTTATATAAAGGCATGCTTCTACATAAAAATGAATTGCAAAAAGAAAACCCAAACATAAGGTTTATAACTTGAGTTTCAGTTAGTTGAAAGAACTTTTCAGTATTGACGACATTTATTAACTGCAAAAGCGCATTAATCATTCCAGTATTTAAAAAAAAAAATCAAAAAGCCATAACTTATCTTCAAGAAGAAAAAAAACAGCGTTAAAAATTTTTAAGTTCTTTGCTAATATCCCAATAAATAATTTGTTCTGGAAAGTATAATTTACATGAAAATTATTTTTTGACACAATTTGTCTCGGCACTTGTAGATAACTTTAAACATTGAAATTATTCAAGCTCTTATGAATCCTTAAATTGTTCAATAATACTAGCTTTTGTTGGCACAGAGAATTTATTTTGATGGTTTTCAACAATTGGCAACAAAAAATGCTCTTCATTGTGTGTTAAAGAACCATAAAATTCTCGGATCAAGGCAACCCCTTGCGTGGCTAAATCGTTGATCACTTTTATGGACAGAGCAAGTTCCTGATTTATTCTGTATGCATTCTGGAGTCCCCAGTTGTCAGGATCATATTGCAAAATACCTCTGACAAGTTAAGTATTTTTAAAAATCTCAATCTTGATGTCACAAAATAATGTAATTTTTTTGTGGTTGGTTCATCAAATAATAGGATACATTTTGGTGGATTCTCAGACCTTTCACTTCCGTTGAGTGACATGAACATCAAATTTTTTTTTTCTGCCAAGATTTCATCACCAAAGAGTGCAAATCTAACTAACAGTTCAGACAAATACCATAAATAGCGATCAAAAGCTGTTGTAGCAGTCTTTGTTACTTCTTTGTTTGGGTTTGATGTCAGTGTGCAGAGTAATGCAAGGTCATTTTTTGGAGGTGTTGTAGATGATGGTGCTTGAAACCAATAATGAACATATATAACAGTAACAAAAATACAAACCTTCTTTAGATAATTCCAGATTTTTTCAGAGTATGAAGGGCCCCAAGACCTATATGATCCAATTGACCCTGACTGCAATGGTTCATACTGGTTACAAAATAGCCAAATCTTAATTAAATAAATTACCCTGGCCATCCAACGAGCAGGTGTATTACTCTAGGATAGTAAAAATGTCTTTCATGTGGGAGATGTCTACAGAAAAAAATAATTTTTAATTCCAGTAGTTAACGATAATCATCTCCTGGCTTATATTTTTCTAGTCAAGATTCTACAAACCTGATGATAGGTCTCTACATTAATAATATTTTATTTTTTTGATTTTATCTGTATTGATAATTTTTTTGGAAACTTCTCTTTTCCTATAAAACGAACACTTTCTGGGCATGTTTTTGTTGTTGTTTGTGTAGTATCCAGAATTTCCAGGCATGTTGTTCCCTGCAAAACAAAATTATTTTTCGTCATCGATGACCATTAGTGATTTTGTGTTATAGAGTTGGTTAACTACTTTTCTGCTTCTTGTCTTTGCCTTTAATTGTTGTTCTATTGTGTATTTTGGAGTCTTTTCACATTTTCTGTATCTAATATTTATTTTTTTAAACTGATGATCAATTGTCGAAAACCTATTTTTCTCTGACTGACCCCTTTTCGATTGTTGACAAGTCTCGTTAACTCTAATTTCTTTTCTTTAGTCCAGGATGTTGGACAATCAGAGTGCTTTCTATCAAAAAAAGATCAGACAGTTTCATAAAATGATTTATGATTTCTTTTTATATATATTAGGTTTATTTACATAAAATATTTTGAGTTGCTTTGGAAAAGATTCTCGTTCAGCTGCATTTAACCTCATTTTAAATAATTGTGTTAAAAATAATAAAGTTTTTGTTTTATAGAACGTTTATGCCTAAGCATTAAACCACATAAACAAATTATTATGCTCAAATAATTAAACTCAGATATGTCTGATATTCCGCATCACCCATTAACGTCACGTGATTGAATTAAATAGGTTTAGTTTAGCATTAGTTTTTATCAAAATGAATGTTTTAAAGTTTTTATTATTTTTATATTTAATATTTTTATCATTTTCTAGTTTTAAAATTTAATTCATAAATTTTTCTTTGATTTACTCAAGGGGGTTAAAATTTAAATAGGGGTAAATTACACCCCACCCTAATAAGGAGGTTATTTATATGCAATCAAACATAAAAGAAAAACGAATGACTTTAACTTAACAGAACATGCTTATAAAAGTGTTTTTCTTTTTTTTTTTATATGGAATCACTACAAGTTTTATTTAGAAAAATATTTTTTGAAATTTTAAAAATAAATAGAAATATTTGAGATTTTATACTGTATTTACCAATACAAATAGAAACCAATGAATTTGTACTCTTAAATTTCCACCTTCATTTTTTTCTGACATTTACAACTAGGAAACTTCAATTAAAATGAGAAAAATGATTAGAAACTTAGAGTTTTCATTTGTTCACTTATAGAAAAAGTTCATTTTATCTCTATTCTAGATAATATTTTCTCATTTGTACGTTATCTTGTATATGCTATAATTAATGTTATCTTGTATTTGCTATAATCATATATCTCAGGATTTTGTGTAAGCTGCAACTTCTACACCTAAAAACAACCTGATTAGTATACAGGGTTTCCATTCCTCCTTAAAAACCTTAAATATCCTTAAAAAATAAAAGCCTCCATAATTGTCCTTAAGAGCCGTTTTCTGATAAAACCAGGCAAAAGTATTGTTAGCTCAAAAGTGATATCCTTTAATCGCGCTCAATTTTTTATACAGTAATACTGATTTGGTAAAAAAGAAGCCTGTAACTTTTTTTTTTCAAAATATTTATAATTTCTGAGTTATGGTCGGTCAAACTTTTCTCCGTTTTATACTTGAAAAGTCACTTTTGGGGTTGTATGATTTTTAAACTCACATCAAAAGCAATAAGACCACTGCAACCTAAGTTTCTTTTCATATTATGGAAGTATAGGTAGAACTTTAAATAGAAAAACCAAAAAACCTGAGGACAACTCTTGTCTTTGTCTAAAAATCATAAGCTGAAATCACACGTTTTCAAATTTGGGGCCTATTTTAAATATATTTATCTCGGAACCTAAAATGTGCCCGCAGCTCATCTTATCCTTTTTGGAAAGAGTATTCCATTGTTATTTGAATGGTCTAAAGAAACTGAAAGGATATTGTTTACAAAAAAAGTTATGAGTCATCAAAGTGTCAAAAAATGTTTTAACCAGCGTTCAAATATCAGCCATTATGGAAAATGAGAAAGGTCCTAAGAATGAGGATACAGATTTTATTTTACTACATATTACAATTTATTTGATGCAAAAAAAAAACTTAGGGGGTAATATTGCATTGTTGAAATAACCTAACTTTTTATATATTTAAAAAAAACCGAATGTCGCAGCAGAGTTAATCAATATATTTAAATATATTATGTCTTTATCTTGTTATGTGATTGTTTTACATATCTTTCTTCTTAAGTCTTTGATTTTAATGCATCGTTGCTTGAAATTCCTTTTGTATTTTTTCAAATTGTTCATCTATAAGCTTATAGTCTTCGTGCTGTTTTAACGGTAATGGTGGTAGAATTCTACAAATGATTTCACTGTCATTGTACTTTATAACATCAGGAAAAGCTGGCCACTTAAAAAGGTTCTTGTCTGCAGAAGCATACTTCATACAGCTCACCATGTAACCATCACTGAGAACCTAATATGAGTTATGATCTTTCTAATTTTAAAAATAGTTTAAAAAATTGATAAGATCAAATAATTCAAAAAAATAAAAAAATTTTCTTTGAATGAAAAACATTTTTTTTAAACGTTGAATAAAAATGAAGTACCTCATTTATAATACCAGGATACCAATTGCCCATATAAATAACAACAATCCAATCGTTTTCATGCCATGCACAAGATAAATCAATGGCAAATTTTATAAACTCCTTTTCAAATTCTTCATTTGCTAATTCTTCTTGATCTAAGGAGAGAAAAAAATAAATATTTGTAAAAATATTTATTTAAATACTTACAAGATAATAAAATATATATTAATGAGAGTAAATTTAAAATTATTACCTTGATCGGCTATCTCTTCTTCTTCTTCGTTATCCATATTAGTACTACCAACATTAACTGGTTCTCTCAATCTTTTATCTTTTTTTAGCCTGCTCCAACGTGAAAATAGTGATCTTATTTGAGTTGTTACGTATTCTGAGACTTGAAGCTCTTTTTTTATTAAAAGGTGCACCTGCTCTGGGCTAAACTTTTTTCCTGAAACTTCACCTTCCATAAAGAGTTTTATATATAAATTTTATATAAAGAGTTTTCGACAGGAATAGTTATACCTATGTTTGCATTCTTTATTTTGCGTACCTGGTCTATCTTGTATTTGGAGCATCCGAAAACTTTCATTAGCAACTTCTTAGTAAATTTTTCATGTTCAATCAAACACAGTACAATATGTTTTTCAATAGAGTCATTTTCTTCATAAATTTCAACAAATTTTTTTAGTTCATCAGGTACTACATCATTGTCTGAAGCTTCCAAAGATCTTTTTAAAACAATTGAGATAAAGTCTTCACTCTGATCTGGGGCAACAGCTTCAGCGAACCTTTTTTCGAGCTGTACCTTGGCTCTTTCAAATTTTTTTCGTAAATTATTTTTTGTTCCATTGCTGAGATCAGATATCTTTTTGTTCTTTATCTGAAACTGAAAAGGGCTGATGTGGAGTGCTTCTGATAGGCTGTTACCAGTAAATGTAGCATCTTCAACTTTTTCTCCAGAAAGTAAAATTTCTTCAGGCTCAAAATCAAAATCAGTTGTGTCTTCAACTAGCTCTTCGTTAGCGGCAGTACTTGTTTTAGTTTGATTTAGAATGCGCTCTGACTTTAGGTGGTTGTGACAAAATACGAAACCTACTGGAACACTTTTGTTGTAATATTTTGAAACATTTGTTGACATATTTATTGAAATACTTCTTACAGTAAATGATTTCTTACTAACACTTAATTGATGCATTGGGTGACAGCATCTTCTTGGAAGAACCCAACCAATACCTTAAATTTTAACAAAAATCAAAGTTTGAAATATTTATTTTAAAGGTTTAGTAGTTAATTTTTTTATATTTTTTTGAAATACGGTTGTAAACAAATTCTTACCAAAGTTAAATCTATGGTAAGGGCATATATAGTCGTTATCAGAAATTGGTATGCACCCTTGATTTTCTATAAGTGACTTTTCTGTCCACTCCGTCTCTTAATGTCTCTTTAAAACCTAAAAAAATAAAACTTATGTTGTTATAAATATTATGCAAAGTTTTTTTACAACTGCTAAGAGCATTTCTTACTTTAATTTTTACAAAGTGTGCTTTGACATCCAATGTCAGATCTTGTATCTTGAATAACCTTTGTTCATTTAAACGAGGATATGGTCCACACTTGACATCATTAACTTTGCAAACATTTTCAACAACGACCTCTAGCTCTGACATATATTTTGCAACTAAGTGTTTTTTTTAAAAAGTGTATTTAACATAAAAGCTCATTCTCTGTTCTAAATAATTCAGAAGTAAATGCTCAATAAAACATACTAAATAACTGTATCATCAAGAAATAATGTCTAACAATAATTAATTATGTTCAAATAAACATCAAGTCAATAATCTTTATTAGAAGAAAAATATTTTTCAAGTCTACAATCGTAAAAATTATTTAAAAAAATCAGATTTAGCATTATTTTGACGTAAAGTTATTTCAACAATGCAATACTAACCCCTAAGTTTTTTTTTTGCATCAAATAAATTGTAATATGTAGTAAAATAAAATCTGTATCCTCATTCTTAGGACCTTTCTCATTTTCCATAATGGCTGATATTTGAACACTGGTTAAAACATTTTTTGACACTTTGATGACTCATAACTTTTTTTGTAAACAATATCCTTTCAGTTTCTTTAGACCATTCAAATAACAATGGAATACTCTTTCCAAAAATGATAAGATAAGTTGCGGGCACCTTTTAGGTTCCGAGATAAATATATTTAAAATAGGCCCCAAATTCGAAAACGTGTGATTTCAGCTAATGATTTTTAGACAAAGGCAAGAGTTGTCCTCAGGTTTTTTGGTTTTTTTTTATTTAAAGTTTTACCTATACTTCCATAATATGAAACTTAGGTTGCAGTGATCTCATTGCTTTTAACCTGAGTTTAAAATTCATAAAACCCCAAAAGTGACTTTTCAAGTATAAAACAGGGAAAAGTTTGACCAACCATAACTCAGAAATTATAAATATTTCGAAAATAAAAATTTACAGGCTTCTTTTCAATATTACAAACAACACAATATGTAAAATTGAGAATGATTGAAAGATATCACTTTTGAGCATTGTCTGGTTTTCTCAGAAAATGGCTCTTAAATAACCTTAAAGAAACTTGACTGCTCTCCTTAATTTCTCCTTTTTTCTTCTTTTTTTTTTTAATCATCTAGGAAATTGAATGAATTACACAAGTTAACAAAAAAAAAAAAATTTTTTTTTTGGTGCTGAGCAAACAATTTGTTTTGTGTATAGCATTTCTCATTTTGATTTGAAATGTGCAACTCATTTTTCACCATCACATCAAGTTGTAAAGATATTAATATATAGTTAATATATAATATACTAATAAAATAATTTAAAAACTTAACAAGGCAACTGCAAAAAGAGTGGATAAAATCCTTGAATTCATAGTATTTCTTTATAGTATTTCTCTCCTTTTTCATTTAATTTTCATACGCATGTATAATTTTATTTGTTGAAAAAAATATGGTTTCAATTGATATGGGGTTTGCTAGTTTAAAACTTTAGAATTTAAGGTAAAATCCCAATTTTAATTTCAATTTTAAGGTAAAATTGTCAACAAAAAAAAAGATTCAAAAGTATGTCAACCTGTGTCCCAAAAGAAGCGTATTTTTAGCCTCAGTTTTAATAGTGGGAACCCTGATATAATCTTTTGCGGATTTTTGTAAATCTTTGTAAATACCTAAATATTGTATTTATTTATAAAGGAAATAATAATATTAGTTTTTTTAAATAAATCTACAGAATAGTATAAGCACTAGATTTTACATATTTGTTCTTTAAACTTATAAATAATAATTACATACTTTTTAATAGGCAACAGGATTGTTAGATAAAATGTCTGCTTTCAAAGTTGTATTTTCTGAACCAAGAGGGAATGAAAAAAAAGGTATTTTTTTTGTTTGCTATATTTACAATAATTACATTAATAATTGCTTTTTATACTAATGTTGGTATTGTTGTTTTATTAGTATTTGATGAAACACTTAAGCAGTTTTACGAATGTGTAACAACAGATAATGGCAGTATGGTTATTTTATTTTTTATATATCTGCATAGTATATATATAAAAAAATATATATATATATATATATATATATATATATATATATATATATATATATATATATACATAAACAGCTCTTGAAATTAGAATAAATAAAGTTGGCCTCATTTTTCCTAGTCTGCACCAGGTTGGCAAAAAGAATTTAACCTCATTTAAAAAAATGAGGATGGCGGCTTTTTGCCAACCTGAAACACATAATGGTGGTAGTTAGGTTGGGATAGCTTATCAAAATTATCTTTTAGAGTTGACAAGCAACTCTCAAAGATAATTTTGATAGGCTAGTATTTAAAGCTAGTTTTTTATATCCAGTGCCGTTTTAGTATATAGAATACAGTTAACAGGTGCTTAACAACATTTAAAAATAGTAATTTTTTTAACTTATCTTAAATAATAATCTTAGATATGATATTGCATGAATATGCCAGATTATATGCTATTTCTGATTATATATTTTGTATAACCACATGGTTTTAGTTTTGTTACTAATGTGTATACGATAACCTTGTGTTCACATTGTGCGTGGTGATATGTTTGAGTTGTATTTTACTTTGTGTATGATTGTGTGCTTACTTATTCTTATGTCTTATAGAAAACACAGGTTATAAGTTAATGGGTTCAAGTTAAATAATACATATTTGTTTAATTATTTGATAAATTTTTAGTTACAATTTGATTTTTATTATCAGTTTATTACATTATTACTCTTATGTAAAATGTGAATTAAAATTTTTTTTTCCTTATTTCAATTTTTTAATGGAGTTCAAATTTTAAGTGTCGTTCTTACTAGAAGTTTTGCTGTTTTGTTCAAAAACATTTACAATTTTATATTTATCCAGCAAATTTTAGTTTTGAGGTTTGATGTCAAGTTGATAAATTTCATTATCATTTTTAATAAATACAGTTACACTACCAACAATTAATGAACCTTTATTGTTAGCATTGTGTTATCGGAAAGTTAATGTAATGTAAAAGTAGATTTTGTATTAGCTATTATAAAACCTGTTAGAACAGTAGGCGCAGTAGTTAAAGCGCTTGTTTTAGAATCAACAGGTTCAAGGTTTGATGGTCAGCTCTGGTCACATTTACAATATTACAAAGGAAAGAGACATGAACTTCCTAGTTAAATGTAGCTTTGTAGGGCTCTGTGATATGACTGTAAGGGCTCCTTGAAGCACCTTTTTAATATATATATATATATATAAATATTATTGACTATTTTTTTTTACTTTGTTTTATTATTATTAATTTATTATTATTATTAATGGTAATATTTATAAAGGTTCACAAAACAAAATGATTAATGATAATGTTTCATTTGTCTAGATAACTACTATTATATTCTAGAAATCAATGGAGCTTTATTGTTAGCAGTCTGTCGTGGAAAAGTAAGCGAAGGATTAGATTTTAGTGATGATAATGCACGAGCTGTAGTGGCAGTGAGTTTTATTTTTTAAATGTTTTTTTTTCCCATAAAATAATAGGTAAAAAAAGTTGCAATTTTAAAATTTTAAAATTAAAAAAAAAAAGTTGCAATAAAAATAAGTCTTTAATTAAAGTTTATTTAGGTGTTTAGCTTGAGTAGTTATTTCATAAATAAATACATTGAGTAGTTATTTCATAAATAAATACATTGAGTAGTTATTTCATAAATAAATACATTGAGTAGTTATTTCATAAATAAATAATCTGCAAATATATAAATACATATAATATGTTAGTGTATTCGACGAAAAAAGTAATAAATTATTAAAAAAAAAATCATCTAACTTTAGATGTAGATATTAGTTGGGGTCAAATATATTTGATCAAATACAAATATGTTAATTCTAGATTTCCAAATACAAATTTAAATACAAGTATAACCAATTAAACTAGTTTTGCAAATACATTTCAATCAAGTACATATACAAATATTAAGGAAGTTTATCAATTGAATACATACATACATATATATATATATATATATATATATATATATATATATATATATATATATATATATATATATATATATATATATATATATATATATATATATATATATATCAGGCTTTCCCAGGAAAGGCATGCGGTCGTCTTTTAATTTGTCCAGGCATAGAATAAATTTTTCTGACTAACTGACCACGTTTTATTACGCGTTTCAGAAATTCGCGCCAAAACAAAGCTAATCAAAAATACAAGCAATGCTAAAGTAAATAACAGTAATTTGTTTGTGCTTTAAAATTAAAAAAATAATGACCATTAATAAAACAAAGATTTACCTATATTTCATTTATTTATTTTTTCTTGTTTTTAGGGTTCAGCTATGAAAAATTAAATCAATACAAATCAAGGAAAAAGAAAAAAATTATCGTTTATATAAATTTAATGAAAATAAAAGGACCTTTTAATATAAAATTTGTTTATGACTTTTATCAGTCAGTAATACTTTTAAAATCACGTTTTTAAATGTTTTGTTAATACATTTAAATGTTCAAATGTATTGATTGATACGTAAGAAAGCGCGAAAGCGATTGCTATTTATTTGTAAAATATGTTTTTTTTATTTTCAAATGAAAGAAAACGTTGTCAAGCGATTGAGTTGCTTATTTTGCAATCATTAATTGACATTGTGAATGAGTGTTAAAAATAAATGTCCTGAGGGAATTGTTTTTGTAACAATGACTACAGAAGCAATACAATTATTTTTTTAATTTCTTTGGTAATTACAAAATTATGCAATTGAATAATTTCAACATAATAAAAGGCGAGCATTGAGTATAATCAGGTTAGAATAAGTCGAGAGAGAACTTTTTTTCACATTAAAATTTTGTTAAGTTTAAAATCTCAAATAATATATTTAATAATAAACAGCATTTTATTTTCTTGTCTAAGTATTAGGGGAATAACTTCATCCCCTTTGCATAAATCTTCGTAAAAACTAAACTAAATGAAAAAGTTTAATCAAATTTGTCTAGCGTAAATAATGAATCAGTTTTTTATTATATTGTCTGATGAAGTTCGTGAATAAATTACTTATCAAATCTTTTCATTTTCGTGAAATTTTTATGATTTATAGTCGTCTTTTCCTTGACTTCTATCAAATTTCGTAGCTGAAAATAGCAACCCTAAGAAAAGAAAACAAAAACAGTATAAAAAGTCTTTTTTTTTTTTTTTTTTTTTTTGTTACAAGAATTTTTTTTTTGTTAATTTTTTTTTTTTTTATTATTAAAATATTTTTCTTACATCCAGTTTCAATTTTATACTTTGTTAAGATTTTGTTTCCTTTTTTTAGTATTATTTTTTATTCTTTGTGGATAAGTTCTGCTTTGCCGCGATATATTGCCGTGGTCACGTTTTCTAAAAAATTTATCCTATGCGTGGACAAACAAGGCGTGCGACCGCACGCCTTTCCTGGGAAAGCCTGATATATATATATATATATATATATATATATATATATATATATATATATATATATATATATATATATATATATATATATATATATATACACATATATATATATATATATATATATATATATATATATATATATATATATATATATATATACACATATATATATATATATATATATATATATATATATATATATATATATATATATATATATATATATATATACACATATATATATAAGTTCAACTTTTTAGACTGTATTTTTTATTTAAATTGGTCACACTTTAACTAAATAAATATTTTTCATCTTGTGTATTATAGGTTGGTATCCCATTCCCTAATGTTAAAGATTTGTCCGTCACATTAAAACGCAAATACAATGATCTTTACTTTTCAAAAGGTTTACTTAGTGGTAATAATTGGTATGAACTTCAAGCATTCAGAGCTCTCAATCAGGTTTGATAAATTTTTTTTTGCTATATCTTAAAATTAAAATAAAAATTAAAATGTTAAATTGAAGAATAATCAGAGTTAATATATTGCTTTTTAAAAATAAATGTTAGTAAATTATATGTGTTATTTATGTGTTAATTATAGCCAACTTGTGTTTTAATTACAACATGTTTTTACAGATATTTAATTGATTTAATATTAAAAAAAGCAAATACAACATGATTTTTTCAACAGAAATTAAAAAGTTTTGAATTTTTTACCAAGTCATTAGGTTGCAAAGTCAACTAGGCTGTCATTTACAAACTATCTGGGTTACACTAACTACAGCATTACATGCAATTATATAAATGTATATATATATACACACATATCTTATAAAAAAAGGTTTAAAAACACTTAGTTTACTTAAGTTTAAACCAGAAACATGATCTGTTTTTTAATCAAAGTTGGGTTTTGAATATTAGAATATTATATATTTTTTTTTACAAAATACAAATCTTGTTAAATCAAGCTGCTGAATGAAGATTCGACTGTAGTATTCCCATTACATTATTAATTTCAATAATCATATAACCAGTTTTGATGAGCTATGTATAAATTGCACATAGGGACAAATGCATTCTCTAAAATGTCACATTATTCTCTAAAATGTCACATTATTCATTATTATATCATTATCTCGCAGTATTAAATCTTCTATTTTAGATTTTCTGAAAACTAAAGCCTGAGTCTAATATGTTATCTATACTTTGACAATTTTATTGTCTATTTGAATACAATTTTGCATGTTTTGCATTAAATATTTGTTAGTATTTTTCTTAAATATTTGCATTAAATATTTGTTAGAATTTTGTTTGCATTAAATATTTGTTAGAATTTTGTTTGCATTAAATATTTGTTAGTATTTAATTAATTGCATTAATATTTGTCTTTTTTCAATCAATGACTCTTTAATGACAGCAATCACTTTTTTGCAGCATAAAACAAATTTAGAAAAAAAAGTGATACTTTTACATCCGTGAATGCACAAAGGTGATGCTACATTGTGTTTGGTGATCATGTTGTTATTTATTCATTGTGTGTGTACATATTTTTGGATGTTCAATTTGAGGCTCATCTGTGTTTGTTATTGAGCTGAAAAATTATTTTGTTTGATTGAAAATTTTTAATTGAAATTAAACTTATTTAGTAAATAAACCAAAAAATAAAGAGTATATCTCATTAATTTATGGGCTAATCATTTCTTATAAGGCTTAATGAAGTTAGAAAAACAAGTGCATTTACTGTGTAAACTGTGTATTTTTTTTATTTATTTAGGCTTTGGGAAGATGCATACGTCATAAGTAATTTTTTTTAAATTAATATTATTTTTGTACTATTAATGTTATTATCATCAATATAATTATATTTATATATAAATTTTACATTTTGCTATGTTATGTTATTATTTTATGTTATTATAAATAAATTGTAAATAGTAAAAATTTGTATTACTCTCCCCTCCCCTTCCTCTTCATTCTTCCTCATTCATTCCTCATTCATTCATTTCAATTATTTTGGTTGAATATTATAAGTTAAGCATAATTGTTGATTAATATATAAAAACCTTTTCTTTCTTTTTTTTTTTTTAATTTTTTTTTATTTGTGATTCATGCTCCATTAATATTCAAGTAGTATAGATGACGCTTTATGGATGTCATTGATGTAAATTAAAGACAATAACGCTCCTAAGATTGAGCCTTAAGGAACCCCACACTCAATATCAAGAACACTTTACTCTTTGTTTATTACAAACTGTTTTCTGTTACTCAGATTTATACATTACCCATTAGTCCTATAATACCATAATGTTTTAATTTTGATAGTAAAATGTTGTGGTCAACTGTATCAAATGCCTTTGAAAGGTCTATAAATACTCCCAGTATATGATTTCCTTAATCAAAAAATTGAAATATTTTATTAGTAAGTTCAATGATATGTTGAACAACTTTTTAACAACTCTGTTTTTTAAGATTCAAACTAAACAAAGCTTTTTTTTTTTTCAAGTAAAATATTTTATTAGCTGACATTATGTTCCTACAATTCCTACTAAACCCAAATTATGTCTGCTGTGTAAATTTATCTTAATATAATGGTTACTTGGAGAAAGCATCTACAGGTTGAATAAAATTGAAAATTTAAGTTTTAATTTGTGATTCAATTTCAAACTTAAATTTTGAATTCAATTTAGTTTTAAGAGTCACCCTAATATATATATATATATATATATATATATATATATATATATATATATATATATATATATATATATATATATAAATATATATATATATGTATATATATATATATATATATATATATATATATACATATGTATATATATGTATATATATATATGTATATATATCTATATGTATATATATATATATATATATATATATATATATATATATATATATATATATATATATATATATATATATATATATATATATATATTAAAACAAAACATATCTACACTAAAATGTAAAGTTATTGATATAATCAAAAGCAAAAATATGCTATAAAAGTTTTATCCTTGATTTTTTGTCATCAAAGTCATCAATAATATCAGTATTCAAAGTTAAATTGCTTTCTATCGATACATATAGATGAGCCATTTAAATATTGTTTTTTTAAAGTAGATCTTAAATATGATTTCAATCTTTTAAGCAATCAATGCTAAAAAGATTAAAATTGTATTTAAGCAAGTAAATGCTGAAAAAAAAAGTTTTTTCTTCAAAGCAGTTTGTTAATTAAGTCCGCAAAAATATTTTTAAATTTATATTTTATTTTAAAGTTATATTTTATTTTTAAAGTTAAAGTTTGAGAATACAGTTTCTAATTTATTGCTACATATTAGTTTATTAGGCTCCATTAATTAGTTAGGCTCCAATCTCAGATAGAACTCACCCAAAGTTCATTAGATTAGGCTCCATTCTCACCGAAACAAATCACCAAAATTTAGAACTCACCGAAACTTCATTAGATTAGGCTCCAATGAAGAACTCACCGAAAGTTGATTAGATTTCAAATATAAGTGGATACATTCTTCCATAAAACCATAGATGAGTTTTTTCCGGGAATTCCCGGAATTCCGGAAATTCACTTTTAATTTTCCAGAAATTTTCGGATGTTTTTTGTTATTAATTAAAAAAAAAAAATTATATTTTTTTACATAAAATTTTAAATACAACAACTTTTGCATTTAAACAAATGTTTTCTATAATTAAAATTTTTACGAGATCAATTTTCGTAACAATTTTTTTGCTTTTTTTTTTTTGCTTTTTAATTCATTTAAATTAACTTTTTCAAATATAAGAAATTCCTTTTTGTAAAAAGTTAAATATTTTAAATTCCGTTTTTAAAGTTTACGAAAGTTTTTGTTGTCTTTTACAGGGTTATTCATTCTTATATGCGCGTCTATTCAATTTTATATGCATATTTATTCATTCTTACATGCGTTTTAAAAAAGCAATAAGAACAAAAAAAAATCATTTAAGCATTTTGTTTTGAAAAAACAATTTACTTTTTTCAAAACAAATTTTTCTTATTTCCTGGTAAACAAGGTTAAAAATACTTAAAACAGAGACTTTTTACATTTCATGATGGTTTATTTAATTTAGTATCTAATTTAGTATTTAATTTAGTTTAATTTTATTACATTATTAAATTAATAAATGAATAAATGCGCATATAAGAATGAATAAACACGCATGTAAAAATCAATAGACGTGCATATAAAAATGAATAACCCTGTAAAACGATCAATTTTTAATTAAATCATTTTCCGGGATTTTCATAGAAAAAAATTTCCGGGATTTTCAAAAAGTCAAATACAATCTATGATAAAACATTACTTTAAATTGTTTTTGTATATCCGGTATAAATTTACTGCATTTTCTAAAACTTTATTAGGTGATTAATTTGTTAAATGGTTTAAAGGCACAAAGTTTTTGTATATAAATTCATATGCTTCAAGCCTCTTTTTCAGTTATCCACTAAGACATAAAGTTATTACATTAAATGTTTTGTTTTTAAAATTGTAATTAGTATCTAATTCCGATTCATTAGTTTTATCGTGAAATGTTTTTATTTTATTTTTCTTCTTTCAAATTCTTTGACAATGTACATGTCTTCAGCTTTATATTCATAGTATTCATATAAATTTGATATTGAATTTATGAGTTCAATCAATAATCTGTATTATTCAACAAAAACGGACAAATGATTGTAACTCTAAGTTAGTTTTTCAAAATGCCATCATAAAAGCACATTCGAGATGACTCATTTGATTATTAATACTTTGTGGTTTGCTTCTACATTGAAAAGATACAGTTTCATCTTCTGATATTTGTTTTAAAGCTTTAAACATTTCCTCCCTGTTTTTATACAAAGCTTTAAAGCATCATACTGACAAGACCACCTTGTATCGAAATTTTTGATGGTTTGCAATCGAAGATGATTATAAAAAATGTATAAAAAAAAAATTAGAGTGTTTAATTTGAAGTATTCCATGTTAGGATAGGCTCTTAATCATTAACACTTGAATCATTTTATAACGCGCTAATTTAAAGATAAGATTGATTTCATTTCAAACATCCAAAAATGTAATGCAATCTAGAATATAAAGCATTATCTGGTTTAACCATCTATATTCACTTAATGTTAAAACAAACATAACAAAGTACTTTTGGGGTGTAATTAACAAAAGCTCTCTTAAAGGTCACATTGTATCTTATTCTTAATATAATAGTACCACATTATTACATCACCATTTGATTTAATTGAAAAATTTATGTCATCAACGCTGAAACTCTATAGTATTTTTTGTATATATATTTTTTTGTCATTATATTTTTTATGGTTAAAAAGGCTCAGAAAGCTACAAAATGGTTGTAACTGACAAAACAGAATGAATGGTTTGAAAATTTGAGATGTTTTGCATAAATCAATGAAAATTTAAAGTTTTCTGATATTTGACACAAAATAGTTATTAAATAATTGTTCTTATTGTAAAATAATGTCTTCTAGATTATGTTAAGCTTAAGCAACCCAATTCATTAGTAGATTAAATTTAAATCAAATTTATCATATCAGATTTAAATTTTATCATATAATCCACATCCTCCACATGGCATACAGAGAGCAATTTTGGGAAAATTCAATCATATCCACCCCAAAAAGTTTATAAGATTTTACACTAATCTCAATTTTCATTATTGTTTCAGTTACAACGTTTTTGATCAACTTTTATTATCTTTATTTGTTAAACTTTATGTGATGTTATTATATATATATATATATATATATATATATATATATATATATATATATATATATATATATATATATATATATATATATATATATATATATATATATATATATATAACTAGTTATTTAGTTTTCACTATAATATGTTTTTTATCTATTGTGTAACACATTGAATTATGTATTAACATGATTTCTAATATATGTATATATATAGAAATGATTGGGGAGCATTGCTAATGATTGATGTCAGATTTTCAAAAACACCCAAGTATGTTGATGGTGAGATATCAAGAAATTTGTATATTCTTGTATTATACACTATAGTTTAATAAATTGTTTCTGTAACAAAAATCTTGTTTCCTATGTTAATTTTATGTTTTTGTTTTAGCTTTTTTATAATATTGAAAAATGTTTTAAGGTTTATCAAAGTGGATACGTACCAAAGTTAAACATTTCAATGACTTTCAAACTTGTTTTTTATCTGTATGTGAGTTTGCTTATGGTCATCAAAAAGACTTGAAAAAGGAAACATCAATTATTATAGATAAACAAAACAATACTTCCAATTTTTGTGAAGAAAGGTTAATTGCAAATGAACCTAATTTGACTGTTTCTTGTTTTGATGCGTCTAAAATCAAAGAAAAAAATCAGGATAAAATCAATACAATGATAACTTCATCTACCTCAATCAGTATGATGAGTAATACAATTAAAAATAATGTATCTTTACAAGCAAAAGATAGTGTTGAGAAATCAATTGTCGATTCTGATTTGAACAAACTTGAAAATAATTCAATTTCAAATTCTTTAAATGAATCAAAAACTAAAAAAAGTTTTCTTTTTCGTACGCCTACTTCAGCTTTTTTTAACTCTAAATACAGTGATGTTAAACAAGAAAAACTTTTGGTCGATTCCTCTCTTTTAACCAAAGACATAAACAGTTCAATAAAAATGGCATTTTGTGAGCAGTCACATGATTTCAGCTCATTTATTAACAATAAAACACACTTTGACAGCTCATTGAGTTCGTTTGATCACAAAGCAGAAGTATCATTTCTAAATGATACCTCCTCTTTCATAAATGATACCAACAAAACACTTGATTATGAATTACCTGATGTTTCAATTGCACCACTTGTCAGAAATCGGAAAATATTAGCAACCCAACCTAAGAAAAAGTTTAAATATCCTGTGACTAACTGTGAAAAATTGAATGAAACAGAAATGCATAACACTGACTCCATTGAGTGCAATGGTTCTGTTAACAGGAAAAATATTGTTCATTCAAAATCTGAGCCTAAAAAAGCTTGTTTCATTAATCCTTATTTGGAAAAGAATCCTATGCCAAATGATTATTTAAAGAACAATGTTGCGTCACCAGTGCTGTTTCATCTGCAGCAAGATTTTGAAGAGCCTTCACATTCTACTCCTAATGTTTATTTAGACAGTGTTGTAGTTAATAATAATAATATTAGTAGTTTTAACAATTTGGTTACTATGTCAACACAAGATGTTTTCTCCAAAAAGCAAACAAAAATTGGGCTTAAATGCAAAGGAAATATTTTATCGAAATTTGAACAGTCTGTTTTAGAATTTGATGCAACAGATGTTTGTGATCTTGAAAATAATACGAACATTGATGTTAATACAACCACTAAATATGACCAAGAGAGTTTAACTGAAAAAATAATAATTCCTCTGAAAGACAATTTTGTAAATTTTAGCAGCAATTCAGTTCCTTGCATTCAAAATAAAAATTTAGATACTATTCGATTAGAAAAATTAGGTTGGCCTACTTTAAAAGACAGAAATATTGAAAATGAATATAACAAATTTGCAGATAAATCTTTCAATAACATAGTAACTAAAAATGAAACAGACATTGAAATAAACAAACCTAAGGTACAACCTCTCAAGCAGAATGAGAAATTAGAGACACTTAGTTTAGCAATACGTCGTAAAAAAAGAAACTTAAAGAGAAATTTAAGAGAAACCCAAAAGACCAAAGATGAATTTAATTGGAGTCCAGAGTTTCATTCTTTAATTTCTGAAAAGAGTGAATCTAAAAGTAGCAACCATCATTTACTTAATGACATGAGTGACTCTGTAAGTAGCAACCATTATTTACTTACTAACGCAGGTGACTCTGTAAGTAGCAATCATAATTTACTTAATGATGCAGATGACTCTGTAAGTAGCAACTATCATTTACTTGACACAAGTGACTCTGTAAGTAGCAACCATAATTTACTTAATGATGCAGGTTACTCTGTAAGTAGCATCTATTATTGACTTACTAAAAAGAGTGACATCTGTAAATGTTAATAATTTTTTACTTAGTGAAAAGACAGCTATTTTTATTTTGAATTTATTTGCTGATTTTTTAATATTTTTTGTTACAGATAATAATTGTTTGTTTATTTTTTGTTTGTTTTTTGACATTTCCCAGGAAAAAGAGTGCTATAGATTTTTTATAAACATTTGAAACATACCGCCATTTTTTCACATTTGAAACATACGGTCTATAGCAGAGTTGTTAGTCCTTGGCCTTGGTCTTACCTTTAGACCAAAATTTAGGGTCTTGGCCTTGGTCTTGAAACTGTTGACTTTGGCCTTGGCCTTGAACATTTTGGTCTTGGCTTTCCACCTTTTCTTATTAATTTTAGAATTTTATTTTTTGTTTGTATTTTAAAAGTTGTACTACAGTTGAATTTGTTTACACAAGTTTACTTCAAGCTTTAGAACTTAATTTTGTGTTTTATGTCACTGTTTAAAATGCCATTTTTGACTAGCCATTTTAAAATAACAATTAATGTCATAATTGGGAATTTCAAAGTTTTACATTTACAATTATTTGATTTTTTATATTTTTAATAAATTTAAAAAGAATATAATCACCAATATCAATAGAAATAAAAATAAAAAATAAAAAGTAGACTGTTTTAAATAAAACTTTGTATCTGATAGAAGATTCCATGAGTAAAACAAATAAAGATAAAGTAATAATAAGTAAACAATTTTTTTCCATAAATTGTAATAAAGTAATAAACTTTTTTGCATGAAGTTGACAGGAAGGTGGACGGTGGAGGTGGGCCTCCATTTTTGCTTTAACATTTGATAATTTACAAAATAATTTGCAACAGTTTACATAATTGATAGTTTACATTTTCAAATAAAGTTGAATAAGTTAGGCATCTTGAAACTATCAAGTCCCTATAGTGCTAATTTTGAATTTAAACTTTACATTGTCATAATGGGAATTTAATACATCCATATATTAAACCACATGTTTTGTTTTAAAGTTTTTATTAGTTAAAACATTTCGATATATTGTAAAAGATTTGAAAAGATTAATTTTTATTAAAATTAAAAACAGAATTTTATAGGTTTTTTGAATTAAAATAGTTTTTATTATATTTAAATTATAATTTATTATAAAGTATTTTGTTTATTTATTTATACTTTTTTTATTCAACTCATCTAAATCTGTTATAAAAAGTTGTGGTTTTATTGTCACAGCACTTGCTACCTGCAGTTTGGTAAAAAAGTGACCTTAATGTAGGGCCAAATTTTAAGTCTTTGGCTTTAAAAATGTTTGTGTAGGCCTTGGCCTTGTCCTTGGCCTTGGAACATGTGATCTAGGCCTTGGCTCTCCTATTTTTGGCCTTGTTAACAACTCTGGTCTATAGAAATTGTAATAGAATTTTTATAGAAGCTATTAATTTTTATAAAAGTTGCTCTTAATAAAAGTTTTTTAATATATTCTTTATATATATAAGTTAGTGTTAACTTTTTTTAAATGATATATTGGATATATTGGAATATTATTAATGGATATATTGGATATATTGGAATATTATTAATGGATATATTGGATATATTGGAATATTATTAATGGATATATTGGATATATTGATATATGATATATTGGATATATTATTCAGATCCTCTCTAAAAAAAGAGGAACAAAATAATATTCAAAAATATCATTTGTCATAATAATTCGAAAATTATTATGACAGTTTATCAGCCTTATCTTCTATGAGGTCCTTTCTTTTTATTATTAATTTGTATTTATTTGTATTTGTCTATTTTATTGAAATTACCTGAAATTTAATAAATATATAAGGAGCTAGGTAAAAAAAATAAAGATTTCCGAAAAATATAGGAATTTCTATAAAAATTAATAGTTTCTATAGAAGTTCTATTTCAGGGGTTATCTTTTTACGGATATTTTTATAAAATTTAATTTTTACAGATATCTAAATAATTTTCTAGAAATACAAGTTCAAAATATTTTTTTTATCTTTAAATAATTAAAACAGTAAAGGTATGAATTATTTGTTCATTGATTACTCTACCTGATATTTAGTTAAGTTAGGCATTATTTATTTGCGTGTAAAACTAATTTTTTCTTCTTTTTAGGAAAAAAAAATTAGTCTTACACGCGAACAATATACACTTAACTGTGGCTACAGCAATAACAGTTAATTTTTGCACATATGAACTTTTAAAAAAAAAAAAAATTGAGTAATAATAGTTAAAAAACATAAAGCTACATCAAAATAAAACTTTAAAAAAACAAAGTTATGATTGTCAGATCCACAGCACAACACCACTAAATAACTAATATAAAAACATTAACATTTTTTGCCTGCAAATAATGTATATTTTGTGTATAGTGTTAATATTATTACATGTCAAATAATATATAACAATTTGTGCGTACAAATAAATTTTTAAACATATGAGATATTCATAGTTACACAAAATGTGTTTTCAATACCGTTTTTTTTTCGGAAATAAAAATATTTTCTGGTATTTTTCTGTATATTTCTAAAAAAAAATTTCAGGATTTCTATAATATGACCAGTATAATTCCTGAATTTTCTAGACCATATGTTTTAAAAGTTTATTGTAGTTTTAAAAAACTTTTTTCCTGATATTACTTGTTAGTGAATAACTGTGATGTCACATTTATAATAGCTTTCATTTGTAAGTTGTTGTTGTTTTTTTAGTTGTTTTGTTTAATTTGCAAGACAATTCTCATCCAAGGTAATTATTATTAAAATATTTAGTGTTACAATAACTTTTAAGTTTAATAAAAGTAATTGTTTCAAAACTTTTTTTAGGTGATTTTGATTCATGTTCTGAGTCTATTCTTTCGAAGAAAGTTATACTACTTAAAAAAAAAAGCTCTTGCATTCAATTAAATCTAAAACAAAATTTTAATGGTTTTGGTAAGTATTTTTATATTAATTCAAAGTGAATTTTAAAATTTCTTATGGGAAAACACGCCTATCTCAAAAAAAGCTTTTAAAAAAATAAATTTATATCAAAATTGATCTGATCGAAATGAAAAAATCATTCATTAATTTCAAAAAAGTTTAGACAGACCCAAGATCAAAAAAATAGATTAAATGAAAAAACAAAAATAGTCTCAAAAATAATAAATAAAGACAGAATAATCTCGGTTTTAGTTTGATGGAATATTTGGGATTTTTTAGTTTGCATCTGGGATTTTTCATGATGGTAATGCATTGTTTTTGTTATTGTAAGATGATTTTAAAAAAGTGTAATTTAAATTTCTTTGAGAATGAGTCATACTAAATAGCCTGCTGCTGAGGGCTTCAGTACATACATCGACTATTTTATAGCCTGCTGTTGCAAAGGAGTGCCACTACATCAGCTGAGGGTTTAGGTTGGAACAGCAATCTCTTTTTATTACTCTTCTTTTATATTTTCCTTATTTCTTATTATATAATTAAGATATAATCTAATCAATTAAGGTATAAAGTTAATTTTTCTAAACAAACCTCTGTAAGCTTTTTTCTGCAATGATTTCAAGATAAATTCCTACTTAGGAGACTGTTATCCAAATCAGAGATTTGAGAAAAATCATTTTTCGCAATTTCAAGATAGGGCGTGCAAACCTTTCTTAAATTTTATTTTAAATTTTTTATTGATCAAATCTTTCTTAATCCTTTTATTGTATTTCATGTTCAGTATTACATTTAGTTATTTGTGTATTTATTTGTGTATTTATTTGTTATTTATGTATTTATTTATTTGTTATTATAAGTCATTATTTATATATTAAAACAGATTAACTGTTTTTTTTTTGTTTGTTTTTTTAACAAATAAAGTATTGTAAATTAATAAATTAAATAGTATTCTAGAGTATCATATAGTATTCATGTTTATTGAAATAAATTACACATATTTCGATGTTTATAGATTTTTTAAATGTATTCTTGATGCTATATAAAATGATTTTTTCTTCATGTTTTGTATTTTTTTACCTTCTTTTTTTAAGAATTAAACTCGTTTTTTGAAAATGATCAAGTATACATACCACTTTTTTGTCCTAACTGTGCAGTGACTGTGGATTATGAAAACTTGTCACCTGCTGGTGTTAATGTTATTAGTATGAATAATGAAGTAAGTTATTTATTATTGGAGTAAAATCTTATTATTCTTAAATTTTATTGTATTTGAGAGGTTGGAACTAATATATATGGATCTTATCTAAAAAATTATTTAAGTTCAATTATATAATTGGTTTTAAAAACTAGATGATCATAATGGACCAAAAAATAGACTATCAGATAATTTGTGCACCATAAATTTTTTCTTTTTAAATAAATACAATTTTTAAATTTTTAATTTTTAACAACAGAAAATATGATTGCGCACAGCCTTCTCACTAATACATGCTGTGTTTTTTTTTTTATTTCTTTAGTTGCAATATTATAGAAAGCATTTGTTTGTTTTTTTGTGTGCGAATGTTGCTATAAGTAATTAAATTTTTTTAGTATCATTTAATTTTGTATTTATTTTCTTATACTTAATTTAATTTTGTGTTCACAAAATGAGTGTGTTCTGGATGTAATGGCACTTCCTGCTAAGAAGACTGTTTAAATAGTTTCTTACGCACTTTGCTCATCTCAAGTTGTTGTTTTTTTTGCAACTTACTGTTTTCTCTCAATGCTCTACAAAATGTTTTGCAATATTTTAAATGTGAGCATTTCAGATAAGTTTCTTAACTATATTATATATGTATATATTTTTTATTTGAAAATATTGAATTTCACAATTAGACTTGTTTCCCATTTTTTAAGAATTTCTCTAATTTTGTACTGTCTTAACTTCTACATTGATCTGTATTTTAACATAAACCTGGTGTATTTTTACAACTATAAGTTTAATGCTGATTGTAGTCATCAGGCAAAATTAAAAATTTTCTTGTGAAAATGTTTTGGTATTAGAGACACTGCTTCATAAGTGGGGAGAAACTGCAGTAGCGTCGAGACTGCTTCATAAAACTCTTTTTTTGTTTTGTTTTTTGTTTTGTGGTTATCTAATATAAGTTTGCATTTTTTTAGTATTATAAAAATTAGTAATATTTTTAGGTTTTACACCTGTTGATAGAACAAGCTTTTTTTAAGCCTTTTTTGATTTTGGGACACTTTACTACCAGTCTTGAAACTTCTAAACTGAGTTTTAGAGCTGTACATTTATTAAGAGATAACAGGAAGAGTTGCTTAACTACTTCAAAGGAGGCAGAAGTAAACTTATAAGTAGAGTCATAAAGGAGGGTTTCTACATGATAGTAGCTGGGTGTAATTTTATTATTTTCATTCTTTTTTTTTCCTGGTACTATTTTTCATTATCTTACTTTGTTGTTCTGTTATCCCCATTCTACAGTCCTAATTCTAGTTCTATATATCATGCTTTTTATGTTGTTTTACTTTACATATATATCTTTTATGGTGCATTTTGTTAACACTCTTTTAAGTTTCAAGATCATGGATTCAATCGCTATGTTGCAGGCAGTCCAAAAATTACACAATATACTATAGTGTGTGTAGATCAGCAATTGCTTACTAGTTTTGCTTTACAACATACAGCTTTTTCAGAAAAAGAAAAATGAAAAATAATAAAAGACAAAAACTGCTGCCCCATCCCAAACGCTCAGTCAATTACCGGCACTCCTTTTGCGGCAGCAGCCTATGAGATAGTTGATGCTTATACTGAAGCCCCAGACAGCAGGCTATTTCAGTGTGATGTCAGACACATTATCTAAACACGCATTTATAGTAGTATATATATGTATGTGTGTGTATATATATATATGTGTGTGTATATATATATATATATATATATATATATATATATATATATATATATATATATATATATATATATATATATGTGTGTGTATACATATATTTATATGTATACATATATATTTATATGTATACGTATATATTTATATGTATAAGTATATATTTATATGTATAAGTATATATTTATATGTATACGTATATATTTATATGTATACATATATATTTATATGTATACATATATATTTATATGTATACGTATATATTTATATGTATGCGTATATGTTTATATGTATACGTATATATTTATATGTATACGTATATATTTATATGTATACATATATATTTATATGTATACATATATATATTTATATGTATACATATATATTTATATGTATACATATATATTTATATGTATACATATTTTTAATATTGCCCTGTTTTTTAAAAACATTGAATACTATTTGTAGAATATACTAACATAGTTTATATATATATATATATATAGATAAATAGATATAGATATAGGGTAAAGTAGGGTAATTTCGGCGTATTAAGCTATTTTGCTGTTTATAGACAACGGTTGCTTTAATAATGTTAAAAAATCATGCATATCGATACACTGCAGATATATCTATTAAATAATAGTTAAAAAATTGTTTCTAACTTACAAAGTTTTACGTAAAACCTGTTTTACAAAATACTCAAAAATGACGAAATTAGCGACCTAGTATGGTATTTTTGGCACTATGGTACGGTAAATTTGGCATAGTTATGAAAATTAAGAAGTTTGTTGAAATCGCATTAATATATTTAAAATATTATAAACAGCTATAAATCTGGATTGTATAAAGAATTGTCTCTTAAATAGAATTTGTTACACCTAATTGGCACTTAATTAAGGGTGTTTCAGTTGCAAAAAATAATAATTTTTGAACCACCTATTTATTTTATTAAAGTATGAATGTCACCTTTTTTATTAAGGTATGAATGTCACCCAAAACAGAAACCTTATTAAATATAAATGTGCTTCCAAAGTATAATTGTTAATGAAACGATTACTAATTTCTACGATTTCGATGATTATTTCTAAATTCTGTTTAAATAAAAATTTATGTTTAAAAGCTCATAAGTAGTTCATAAAATAATATTTTACATAACTTCAATAGTTAAACTTAAAAAAAAAAAAAAAAACTCAAAGGAAATTTTTTTAACAGAGAATCAGTACAGTCATCACAAGTAAATACTTTTTTAGTGTAAACACCACATATAGCAGCACATGTTTCATGCCACCATCTACAGCATTTAAGGCATTTGTCCCAATTATCTTTTAAATAAGGATTGACAGGATCACCATAGCTGTATTGACACTTTGCACAAAGTTGTTTATTAATGGCACCTTTAGCATCAAGGTTTTTCAAACACGTCTTTTGATGAGTAGATATACTTTTTTTAATGCACTTTTTACGTGGCTGTCTGTTCTTATATTTCAAGTTTAAAGACTCCTCTAGCTGAGATTTATATGGTGATCCAGTAATTTTTTCAGCATGATTTACCCTCCTTTTTATACCTGTTCGCTTTGCATTTTTAATGTCAAGTCCAGCTAGTGATCCAAATGTAACACCATAAGGTTGTGAGGTTTCATCGTGTGAGGTGGCTAATTCTGATGACTTCTGAAGTGTAAATGATGAATTTGGTGAAATAGATTCTAAATAAAAATTATTTAACTAAAGAGGGTGAATAAAAATAGGCAACATGCAAATTATAAAAAATAGTTAAAATGTTTTTAAAAAATTTGAACTTTCTTTAAGAAACCTTTTTTTAGGTTAATAAAACAACAAATAAGTTAATATTTTGCTTGATTTTAAAAAAGTCATATTTGTATTTTAAATAAAATGCGGAAGATGTTAAAAATAATACAACATTTATGACGATTTACCTTTTTGAGTGTCAATAACACAATCTGTAACAAAATCAATATTATCTAATTCTTTAGCAGAGTCTAACCCATTGTTGAGAGTAGGGTGCATTTCAGAGGTATTATTTGGTTTTGAAATTTTTGATACAACATACGAGTGATCAGTAGCCTTGGCTGCAGCAAAGTCTTCTTCAGTAAACACATTTCTATCAAATGGATATATTCCACATTTTTTGAACCCTGACTGACAATTTTGAACAGTTGCAGCTTTCCCATAGGCTTTTCCAAATAATTCACCAACCTCTAGTTCAGTTACGGGACAACCAGGATGGTGACGAAGCCAAGTACTAACCTCCTGATCATAGAATATTTTGAGGCTTTTAAAAAACGAAACATCAAGTGGTTGCAGTTTGTGGGTGCAGTGGGATGGAAGTGATAAAATAATAACATTTGAGTGGCGCGCTTTTTTAATAACACTAAGATTTTTTTTATGACTTGAATGTCCATCTAAAATTAGAAGAACTGGTTGGTTTCTTGACTGAGGCTGGACTGCTTGTAAAAAATGATCAAACCATATTTCGAACAACTCAGTTGTTATCCAGCCATTTTTGCTGCCACCAGAAATAGAACCTATTGGGGCTTTATCTGAAAATTCAGGTTTCACTCAAATACGTGGATAGATCAACATTGGAGGGACAAAAAACCCGCTTGCTGATTGGCAACAAACTATTGTGATTGTTTTACCTCTTTCGGAGCTTGTTAAGCCACCAACACTGTGTTTTCCCTTAAGAGCAACAATTTTTCCTGGTTTATGGCAAATAGACAATCCAGATTCATCTACGTTGAATAAGTTTGATGGTGGAATAATCTGCATCCCATTAACATTAAACATTATTTTTTCTAGTTCATCGTAAAAACGATTAACTTTTATTCTATTAAAACCAATGGCTCGATGCAATGACGTTGACTCAGCAACTCTGACAGAGAGTTCATTATGGCGTTTCAAAAAACCCCTAAACCATTCTTTTCCTGCTGACTTAGTTTCACAATTAAATTTGTGAATAATTCTATTTTCTTCACAAAACTGAAATACCATTTGTTTTACATCTTTTGGAGACAAACCAAACAATCTCTGTGACATGGTCAGAAGAACTTCTACGAGCTCTTTTTCTTGAAAAGCTGAGAGTGTTGTTGGGTGTCCTGCACGTAACTTTTTAACAAAATTATCAACAGGTGCTCGTTTTATATAGTCATGTAGTGTTTGTCTTGGTATTTTATATTGTTTAGCAGCAGAATATTTCGAGCAACCATCAACTAAAACTGCATTTACTGCCATTTTTAATGATTCTTGTGACCAATTACCATATTTTACACGTTTTGAACTTATTATATGATGC